CCTTCCCCTCTGTGAAGCCCCAAAATCAACTAAAGGGCTAATGATAACTATCAAAACGCCTGCCATTTGAAATAAATAAATTAATTAATAAATGATCGTCAAGACCAGAACCGCAGCAGAGAGATATAAATAGAGGAGAATATCTAGTCTTAATTTTTGCTGAAAGAGCCCATGCTCATAAATGTTTTAAAGTATTGAGCAATCCATAGTTTGTTTAGCATGCACAGATAATGCTGATGTCAACAATAAGAAATTTTTCAGAGATGATAAATAATATTATCTCGACAATTTTTCGAGCTTACCTAGCCTCTCCAAATATGTACAAAGCCTCCAAGCTTAATAGTAACTCTGGATTAAGCAAAATTTCGAAACTTATTTAAAATTTTCCAAAGCAACGGCTATTCAACTTAGTACATTATAACATAAATACATTTAATTTTACTGTGGTAAAAAGAACAAATTTATATTCACAAAATCCAGAGCAGCCCAGACTTTATCAATACCCTTTGGATATGCTCCATTGGAAGCCGTGGGTTGCTCTCAAATTTAGAGGGAAGTGAATTTTGGCAGTATAAAAGCCAGTAACGCTCAAACTGCATGAAGACTCAAAATAGACACATGTTGCAGTCATGAAAATGTAAATCAAGTTCTCGAATTCATTCCATTACAATAAAATATGAACGAGAGGAGAATCCCTTTTCATTAAGTACAGTGTCAAAATTATGGGCAAATTTTGGGCCTACTCTCGATTGCTAGAAGATTATTTGCCAATACTTTCATTTAGGCACTAAAAACGAATGCAATTCATATAATATTCAACAATGATTTTAAAATAGCTACTTAATTTAGACGCATTTAATATTGGTAATAAATCCCTAATCTCATATATGATTTTCAAACAATTGTCAAAACAAGTAGAACAAAATCAAGACACTAAGAGTAACCTTACCATTCTGTAAGCCTAATGACGAGGTTCGAACAATTATGACTGTGAGTAACTAAGAACTGAGTTTTATTGTCAATTCCTGACTGGACAAAGCAGCCTTTGACTTTGGAGCTACCGAGAATTTTTTGGGCGACGGATAATCCGGGAATGAGTAAGACGACTCTTACTGGATTACCATCGTCTGCGGTCACGGTTATCATTGCGACCTAAAGTAGAACAAGAAGATATCGAATTATTGAACGGTTAATGGCTGCGAATGGAACAGCGTGAAAATATAGAGGAGCTAATAATCAATCAAGAGAACACCAGTGTGGCGAACCAACAAGAAATTAAACACTTGTTGGAAGGTGAAAAATGACAGCATGTGCTTCATGGATAAGGGGGTAGCCTACATGGAAATTTAAAAAAATTGTGATGAGGAAAAAGGTGGGCATTATTAGATCAAATCATATTCCATTTCAATATATGAAACAAAAAATTAAGGACTTGTACTATTATAAATATGACAACTTAACTAATTTTAGAGATAAAAGTAAAGTAATTATCCAAAATCGCAAATCTAAACGATCTGAAGACGATGGTTTCGTAAATTATCGAAAAAATTAGAAGTCGTTTGTAAAACAATAGATTATGAACGTAAAGAAGGAAGATCAAACTTTCATTCTTGTAAAACTAAATTTAGTACAATTTTTACTTAACAACAGACAAAATTAAAAGCAAACCAAGCATGAGTACAGAGTACAGTTCAACATTCGAAGTGGTCGAAAGAATAAATCGAGCAAAAAATTATATTAGACGTAAAACTTCCGTGTTTCAACAAAGAAAAGGTTAAAATATCACCAAAATAAAAAGGATAGCAACAACTGTAACTTATGATCAAGGTATAGCATCATCTTTTAAAATTACGGACTTCAATATAAACAGATATCATATAAATAAACTGCAAGTCATATTTTCATAATATAAGAAAACAAATTAATCATAAAGACTGATGCACAAACCTATTTCATGAACTGGCTGTTAAATACCCAATGACCTTGATTTTACACACAAAAAACTAATAGATACAAATCCGACCTTAGATTAGTCATTGATTTCCCATTTTCGTCTGTAACATCAAAATTAGTTACTAGAATGCACTTGATATTTTCATTTATTAAATATTTTAAATAAAGCCCTTTAATTGATATATTATTCATTTATAGAATTCCGTTAAAATTCATATGCCACCGAGATTTTCACACGAGTGAATTATGCTCCTGGTTATCTAACGCAATAGATGACCTAGAAACTACCGCCTTCGTTAAAATGTGTCCATCGGTGTACGTATGCGTCATTGAATATTTTAACATTTGCTTTCATCATGTTAAAGTATTTTGTTCAAATATTTTAAGAATATATATATTTTTGCATAGATGAAATAAAATTACACGTTACAGTTTTTTAGATAGACTTAACAGTTTTAAGCCCACTGGAGAAGAATTAATCATAACTGCTGGCTATGCCTTATTTGTTCTCGCTCTTATCGCTCCTCCAAACGTCCTTCTGTCGGCTGGTTTAACTGTTGAAAAGGTTTTCCAGCGATTTTTGGGAAACGAAGAATTGTTTTTCACAGCTTATCACCTTCGTAGAACTACTCTTCTATACTATCTCTTCTATTGCATACCTTTGGGTAAATCTTAACTATTATTAAAAACTGATATATAAGAATGACTATTTAAGTACTTTTGCAGGATACTTCCTTTCTCTTCGTTTATTTGGAAATCCAGAGGTCGGCTTACTAAACACCGTCGGAAATTACGGAGTTATAACCTCCTTCGCATTAGTTATCGCTGCCTGGACTTATATCCACTTGGTTTGGTATTCCAATGGAAAGTGGACTGGACATCCAACAATGAAGGAATTGAAGAAAATAGCTCGCAAAATTCCTTCACCAAGTACATTTGCTACATCTGATGAGATAGAATTTCTTCAAAATCATCGAAAGTAATTTTTTATTATGCTAATTAGCCAATAAAATGAGAATCATTCTTTCATTAGAGTGTAAAGTATGGTTAATGTTCACTTTGTTGCATCTTGGATGCATTGTTATTAATTAGCTTCATTTCCATCCATGGCAATTTCGTACAATTTTTCCTTCAAGACAAGTAGATACGTTATTTTATGTAACGTTTATGTAAACCCAGGTGAAATAATGTTCATACTTTGAATATTGTTTATTTTTTGACCCGAATAGGATAGACAGTGCAAATTTTGCCAAATTGTTACCTAATTTCGACAGGTCTGCTGATAGCGATTTTTTTATTTTTAAAGGATTACCTTCGTCACTTTTTGTCAAATTTTTTTTCCGTGACCTGTGATATCCATAATTCAAGTTTGCCAGATGAAGAATTAAAAGTATGCGAACAAGTGGGGTCATACAAATAAATGAGAATGTATATTTTTAACATTACCTTTTTTATTCTTTAAATGGGAGTTGCTGGCATTGGGAAAGTTTCATTTTCCGCTTTTGATTACTTACGTATGAAGCGTATTCTCATAACTTTTCCATTGTTGATGATGTATCAGCTTACGTTTAGACTAGAAAGGTTTTCATCCTTTTTCTTCTACGTTGTAACAAGTTTTGTGACTTATTATTATCTTGTGTTCATATTTTATTGTGCTTCTATTTATTTGTCTTACTAAATTTCTTCACTTGTTTTAAACTCATTATCGCAATTTGGTTTTCCATAGCCCTGGTGGTGTTGTATCAAGTATCGACAAGGAGTTCAGAATGATGGAGAAGTTCGTAGCTTTCGCTGGTCGCGGTCTCACCTCCTCGTGGTCAGGTCGACGTATTGTCGTTACTCCTTCGTGGATTCTCTACTCACATCGAACCAAATTTTTGCCAATCAGTCAATTACTTGATCGCATACAAGCCGTTGTTGTGGCAACCCGTTGTATCAACCATCAAACTTTGTCAGCTGATGAGGATGAAGAAAGAGAATCATCAAACCCCTTACTTGGCAGTGGAGTTGTTATGGCAACCATCAGGATTGCTGATATGGATAGTGGTGTCTGCCTCCTTTCATTCGAGTAAGAAAGCACTTTCTCTCCTTTTTTATCAACCTAATTTCCAATTTATGATCTTTTTTACCATCTTGTAGCCTTCCAGCTAATGAAATTGAGAGCTTTCGTACTCATCTCCGATGCCAATTAGCCTTTGCACAAGGTGTTTCATTAGAGCCCAGCATAATTCAACGTTTTCTTGAAGTATTCACGGCTGTGGTTCATGAGAATGATCCTATTGAATGCCCCCTATCTATGGTGTGTAGCTTTTCTATTTATTTATTATTAAGTAGCATGAAATTTATATACTGTTGTATTTCAATTTAGGAGCTGGAGAAATGTATTGGCTGTCTAATCACTCAGACTAACGTTGCCTTGCGTCATTCTTGCGGTTCAAGCGAATGTGGATCTTGCCAATGTCGTCCCATGTGGTGTGTAACTTGTCTAGGTCGTTGGTTCGCCTCTCGTTTAGCCAATGCTCGGGTTCCTATGTCTGATTGGCTGGGTTCCCGGGTTCCGTGTCCAACCTGTCGTAGCCAGCACTGTGTTCGAGATATTATCCCTTTAAGGATACTTGAATCTTAACTTTGTTAATATATATTAAATTTTATCTGCCTTATTTCACATTTGTTTAAATAAATTATTTATTGTCTAAAATGTGTTCACGTATCTTTACTTCTTTCCTATTGAATTTAAGCATGAGTGAGATTATGGCTATTGTTTTCAGGATTTCTATGGGTTCACAGCAAAGTATCCTTGAAGGAACATCTGTTGGTCTTCCTGAAATAGGATTGGGTGAGTGTCTTATTGATGACTATGTTATAAAATAGTTAGATCAAACTTTAACTTTTAAAACTTAATTACCTTAAAGTAGGGAAGGCGGTTGAATTTTTATGTTGAACAGAGCGCTAAATGCCTTCATCTTAACGACTGATAAGTCCGTTTTACATCTACTGAGCAGCTTCCAGGCCGTTTAATGAATTATATTAAGAGAGGTGTATAATATTGGGTTAAATAGATAAGTAAAGTAACATATTGGGTAAATGTAGGTTAACAAATAAGGGCAATAAAACATGATAATTGGTTTGTTATTAATAATGTAAGTTCTAGGTGGTTAAATACTGATGACTAACCCTTTATCGCCCTTAGCACCGTACTGTTCTCTTTCAAAATAAGCTCCATTGGTACTAGACTTGTAGCAGAAGGCGCTATTATTGTTCGATACATGTACAATACGTCTATGGCCTTCGCCTGATACCACCTAAACTCCTCACATCGGCGACATTAGTCTTCTGTGAGACGCGTTAATTCTTTTGGATGCTATTTTTTCGAAAAAAAATTCGGGCGTTAAAGCGCTAAGGCGCCAGCTGTTAATGAGTCATTGACATCAACTTGACCGATCACTGCAAATCCGTAGATGTTACATCCAGTACTTAGATGTATTGAAGTCTGGCAATAATTGATTACCTACTCCATGTAATAAGGCCAGTAAAATTAAAAGATTCCGATTTTTAAAAAACTGCCTACATAACTTGATTTCCTATCGCTATCCTACTCTTTGTGATATCTGTTGATGCCGTTCGGTTTTAAAGCCAATTAGATGACAATTTCATCTTTCAATAGCTTTTTTCTTCCTTCTTTCTGCAAAATCCGATCTTTCTGTCGTGTGTAGACTCCAAGTTACTGACCACATTTAAGCATACTTGGTTTCTAACCATCGTCAAATATGTCCCGTTTTCTAATCGAACTAGTTGTAATGGACGCATTTAGACAAATTTGATATAGTCAGAAAAAATATTTTCTTTTGGGTCTTCTAGGTCTTTTGCTCTTTGCTTCCAAGTGGTCACTCCCACAAATCGTTTTTCCTTTAATAGCCAAGAGTACAGTATTGCGTTATTTCACATGAATTTTAGCTTTATGATCTTTTTACATTCTTTCTATTTCATCGTCATTGACATTCCTTCATTGTTGAAAATATTGTTTATTGCCGTTATTACTAATTATTAACCCGATCCTACTCACTGTAGAAGATCGTCATGGATCATTGGTGTCTCTGCCCGGTGTTTCCCTTCCACTATCACCCGGTATACGACCCACTCTATCACATTCCATGACAATCAGATTTCGCTCTGATTCAGCTCAGAAGCGACGTCACCGTCCGGTCTCTTGTGTCATTCCAGATCCGGGAGCTGCAGCAACTCCGCAAAGTCAGATTGTGGTTGTTTCGCAGGGTCCTCGGAATCTCTACAGATCTTCCTCCACCCCAAAAGTGTTTGGATCGTCAGGAAAGTGGAGGGAAGATCCGCAATGGGAAGTCTATCAGTTGGAACATCGAGTGCCGAAATTTGAACCCCTGGCTAAATGGAAGGATCTTGAGGGTAGCGATTCCACACCGGTATGTTGATCTGGAACTTTAGTCCAGTTTGTTAAAATTGATTATGAATTTTACCAATCTGGATTTTTAGTTGGCTGAGATGGTAGAAATTTATAAGAAACACTATTCAACTGCTGCGGATATTGTTCTTCGCAAACAGGATGAAATCCTTCGACTTGAGCGGAAAGTAAGATAGTTACTTATTGTTTCTCTCAGCCCCTGTTCTAAATGCTCTGCATTTCAAGTATTTAACGAAATAACCTTTAGAACTTAGATATTTCCGTTGTTCTGGTAAATTCAGGCGGCCGATTCTAGAAAATGGCAATTTATAATGGGAAACTTATCAGTTAATTTTATTAAAGCTACAACTACTTAGACTCAAGGAAGATGAAGATGAGGAGGAAGGGGATATATTTATAGATCAAACGGGGGTTTTGTACTAATATAATTACTTGTATAAGCCTGAAAATTTGAAATATGTTTGGTTGCCCGGTTAACCAAAAATTGCGTCGACGGCTGCTCTATTGGTGGTCATACATAGACATTGGTGAGCGTAGGGATCCAAAAATTGATGATCCAATTATGCGTTGCTCTCGAGTGTAATGAAAGTATTCGACTAGGCCTCCTGAATCCCCACCCTCCCCCCTCCCTCTCCACTGGCTTTTCATTTCTCGATTTGCCTTGTTCAGAGAGGATGTTTTGGGGTTGAGATCGAGAATTCGCTGATTGCCAGCCTCCTAGATTTAGGGATTATTCCTGAATATATGGGATGTCTGTTATAGAAAGTGACTGTTATCCCGATAAAAATTGTCTTTCAGAATTTAGAATCTTCCCCAGAACTACTAGAAGATAATACTGATCCCCAAATCAGACCTCTCGAAACTTGAAGAGAAGTAAAATATGAGTTAAAATTTGAAAAGTCGATCACAGAGCTTAAAATTTGTCCACTGACAGGACTTACTTCCAACCCTCTTTGGAGTTATCACATATGAGCACCCGGCAAACACTGTCATTCACACCCAAGAGATGATCAATTACATCAGAGTACGATCACTAGGTTTGTAATTTTCCACTTTCTGTTGCCTGTGTAAAACTTTGTTAAGACTCCGTAATGTCTTTATATCTCCCAATTACTGAACTGTTCTAATATTCATTAATGAGTAAGTATGTTTTTCTCACCTATTTCGGATCTTCCCTCAGATGAATCCTTTCTGATTACATGGATCTTTTGCTTTATAAGTATTGTTAAACTACGGGTGTTCGTGGTTTCCTCTCACTGATTTCCTCTTTTCGCTATTTGTATATATTCTGCTTTGCTATTTTTGCCATAGAAAATGCTAATAAAAAGTTTGAATGAGGAAAACAGGAAGTGATTCAAATAAATCATGAGTCAGAGCTGGGTGTCCAGAAGACGCAGGTGCTAGAGTCGGGTCTTTAAGGTCCTTTCTTTGCTCGAACCACATATGCACTGAATCGGTAGTGTTTTCTTAAGAAATATAGCTCAACTTGTAATAACCTATTATTCAAATTTCATGAATTGACATCTAATTTCATGCTTGGAATATTCATACCTTATTTTCATACAATTTCAATTAAGTGCTTGGTTATTTCGCCTCAGTTTATTTTGTTTTGTTAGAGCTAAGAGCAGGTAGTTTGTACTAACACCGATTTACTATTAACATTGTAGTTGTCTTGTTTTTTAATGCAGCTCGAATATGAATCGAAGCAGGCACTGGAGTCAATGCAGCTTCGTCAGCGAGGCGGCGGATTTCAAACGGCCTTGCAGCAAAATGCGTCACCACTACCACCACCAACATCCTCTCCAACCATGACAATTACCAAAGCAGCAGGAATCTACCAACTGGGGAGAATTGCTAGAGGAATAGGGGAAGTGAATAGCAGATTCAAGGAGTGTGAAAAGTTGTTAAATGAGTTGAAACTCCAAGCCGAAGAAATCGATCGGGTTCTGGGATCTAAAGGTGAAAAAGTTGACTTCTAGATGATTTAATTTGTGTTGGCCCTGATCTGTCTCCCTACATTCCATGCATTTCGATTGTTGTAACTTCCCTTTTATTTTGTCTTTGTACTTCAAGAAACATGTTGACGATCCTAGCCTTTGACTATCTTATGACAATGTACTACTAAAATTTGGCGTTGATTATTTCCTTATTTTTTTCTTTGAATGGTATAATTGGGTTCATTCTCGTAATTTTAACTGATTTATTTGGGGTTGGTGCGTTTCGTTAACCGTATGATGTATTTTAATATTAATCAGACCTCCAATAATTTTAGGAGATTCCAGATCGATTGTCAGTAGAAAGTTATACGAATTTGTTCATGTAAAAAATTTTACGTTGTGTATAGCAAATAAAAAAGCTCTAACGGCAGTAAAAATTACTCAAATCTTACATTGATTTCATTTAAAGAGACCAATTTAAATTATTACGTAATTACGTTATTAAAAGTAACTAGAATACCCGATTGAAAAAACAGTTCTCCTTATTGAGTTGACATGCAAATTCATCCCTGATGCACAGATAAACAAAACCACCATCATGGTATCCAGAATTACTTTTATTGACCAAACGGACAGCCGATCTTTTATCCCATATAAAGCCTTTTATAAGCGAACTTTTTCTCTGTATAAATCGACCGTCGTTTGGTCTACAAGTTCCATTCCTTCTTTCTGGGATTCGAGTTGTTATAAGGTTACACCAGGGCAATTGAGTGTTACAGGGACTAACGAGTTCACCTTTTAAGGTTGTAGCTGGTGGGGTGTGCGATAGACTTACCTCCACGTGATACACCCTGGGCAACGTATATTTATACGGCAAGTCTATTAACTGGCAGTTGACTACTCAATTCAAACTACCATCACCTCACTCTATGCCATATTCGACTATTTCCACAGTACTCACCTCACCTTTCACCTACCTTTGTGTTTGTCTCTTACATCTTTGAAACACTCTTCTGTTCCCCCCCCCCCCCTCTCGACTTTTTTCAATGTGATGTTCCTTCCCCTCTGTGAAGCCTGAAGTCAACTAAAGGGCTAATGATAACCATCAAGACGCCTGCCATTTGATATAAAATAAATAAAGGTTGTAGCTGGTACAGGCGCCGACTTTTACAAGAAAGAAATCATGTCTCTAACCAATAGCTAATAACTAAATTATCCATTCAAACCAATGGTGAGCCATTACTGTTAAATGCCTTTAGCAAATCCCGGTTTCGCAGTCAGCAAATAGTTGGCATACTTTCATTGTGTTAAGTAGTAGTAAAATAGCAACAAATAGAGTACTAGTTGCGAGACAAATTTAAAGCCTAATCTCAACTTGGATTATTGTTTTCTTATTACCGTTTGAGGTAAATGAGTAGAAACCTAAAATTCATGAAATTACTGAGCTTTGTAAACAATAACGACTATGGGACTTTCTTGATCTTCAAAGTAAGGCATGCATTTAAGTGGCGCAATCGACCCTTAAGATTAAATAATCAGCCAATATGGACTGGAACTTGGTAGTAAGAATTTTGTTAGCAAAGTGATTAAATGCCATTCTCATTAATCGTTCACTTTCCAAATTAGGGGTACAAATGAAGTAACACTTTTGAAGCTATCTTTTCGATGCCTTCCCTTTATCCCTTATTCGAAATTACTTGTTTAATTAAATTTGTCTTCCCGCATTTAAGGATTTTAAAATTTTTTGGCATTTCTTTAGCAACAATAGTAATATTAGGCGTCTATTGCTTCACAATCAGAAGAGCTAGATGAAACAAGTTAGATAAAGCCAACATTTCACATCAAAATGTTGATGCTGCTGTCAGGCCAAAAATAATTGAAGTACACAAATTCTGGCCAAGAATCTATTTTCAGAAGTTTGCTAAAAATGAACCATAAAATTCATTTAAATTGCTCCAAAAATTATGAAATTTCTATTGTTATCTTTGTTATTCGACGGAATAAAATATCTGCACCTGTTGAATGAACATTCAAATTACTCATTCGGTCAAAAGGCTGTGAACAACATGGAGGTAAATTTACTCAGAATATAAGGAGCACATTTGAGAATCGAAACATTAGAACCTAAAGTGGTGGACCGTGTTGATGACCTATGATTGCGAATATTCTGAATATAATGATTTTATGTCATTATTGTTCACTTTCTGTTTCTATTCAGACCATTAAACTATTTTACCGTCCTTTTTGTTACTAAGCTTCTCTTGGTGATAGTTGTGAACTTGCAGTATTAATAAATGAGTAAATAAACTCTAAATAAGGTCTACGAATTCGGATCTTCTCCAGTAGATCAACGGTTAACTCCTAAATTTCGAACCCGGTCCAACTGTTTATTCTATTGCCTTCTGGTATAAAAACTGCTCTAGTGTAAAACAAAAATCATTGGTTTTTTTTGACTATTTCGAATTTCGCGGTCAAACTCATCTCCAAAACTGTGCGATGTGGTTGCGGTATGTATTCATTGGTTGCCCGGGTGATTTGGTGACCGGCTGGAACCTATTTAAAAGCTGGAAAAAATCACAATTTTCTTCCTTGCATACGTTTGTACGATTCCTTATTTTCCGTTTAATATATGACAGTGTCTAAAATCTGCAGGTTTTTGACTAGCTTTTTACACTTGATGAAATTCAATAACATATATAATTGATAATTGGATAAAATTTACCCACATTCTCCAAGCATAGCTTTTTAAAGTCATTTAGGCTTTCATATCTGAGCACTTTAATGCAGATAAGTTTAATTTAAGCTTTGAAATTCTAAAGGTTGTTACCTTAGCGTCAACATATTAAAAGTAATTTTAGACATTTTATTTTGCAAATATAATGAATGAAGCTAATTTATATTATTTAATTAAAATACGTATTTGATTGCAAGATTTATGACGTTATTAGATTTTACAAAAGGTGAGCATCACTCACGATGACCATCTATCTTCCTCGCTATCACTACAATCATTTACATTCACAAATAGTTTGATTTATTGGATCGGCATTTTCACTTTCAGGTAGAAATGTCGTCTTATTTTATTGCACTCGCAAACGCCTTCTTCCACTGGTCTTTGAGTTATCCCAACGGAGGACTTCTAAATGTCTTTTTTAAACCAACAGAAGACGGGAGTGTCTTTATAGTAAAATCAGGAAAAGACATCGGCGTTTCCTTACTGAAGCTCCTTTATGACGTCTTAGTTCCCTATCCAAAGGGTGGAAACCCTATTTCGAAGTCCTCTTCCAACAGCAGCAATTTGGGTCTCTCTGAGAGCTCCTATCCTCAAAATCGGGAAGGCGTCATCTTCTGGATCATAGTTTGCTTTGCATTTTTCTTTTTGATACTATTAACCGCTCTGGGATATCGAGTTAGGCGAAAGAGGGTACGTGAGTTCTTAAAATAGTATTGATGCTAAATCATTTAAACCGATTCAAATTGATATAAATGTTTTTCCGCCTAATTTTATTTTAAAATAAATTCTTGCCTTTGGCGACGGCATACAATGAAGTCGGTTCTTTTTGGCGCCGATTTAAATACCAAAAAACCCCAAGATTCACAGAACACGTATATGAATCATTGTTAAAATTAAAAGTTTTAATTGTAAGAAGGTAACTGAATGAAAAAAACAAAAATAGTAATCATGTTGAGTTTAATACATGGTAGGGCTGGAGGCAGAGTAGGGAGAGAGGGTAGTGCTGTCACGACTTGTAGAACCACAGGAAGTGGAGTTGGTATGACCTAATGCTCAAATTCCACAAGACTACTCCCAGATAAACGGAAATGACTCTATCTAATATATTCAGAACTTGCTGCCATTGGGGGCTTTTAACGATGCTTTGCAGACCAAAGGTACTGCTAACTAATTGTATTTTTAATTAATCAAATTTGTGCTTTTTCCTGAATTAAATTTTAGAACTCTGGTTCTCGATCAATGAAAAGGACTGAGAAGCATCGTTTACATAGAGAAATAATTTTGCAAACTTTTGGAATACTTGCAATACTGCTTTGCTTTGTGTTTATTGGATTATTCTTCGTAGAATCTAAAGAACTCACTCACTTTTTTGGTGCCGTAAACGAAAACAGATCCCTGTTGATTGAAAAGGTGGAACAGCTTTTTGGCGCTACGTATGAAATAATAAATTCTGGTTTATCTCTTGGACGAAGTATAATGAACTCTTCGATGATATATCTAGAACGAGATGGAATGGCAAGTTTTGGGGAAAATTATAAATAAACTATTTTAAAATTTTTACGTGTCAATTTATTGTTGAAATATTTTCCTACCATCTGTAACTTTATCGACTCAAAAATCAATGCATCCTATCTCCCCAAAATATCCCACAAGTTTGAAATCTAGCAGGAACCAATGGCATTGATCTATTGAAAGAAAGAGGAAGTGGAGAGGAGAGTGAACGAGAAAATTTATGGAATAAGATCAGCAAACGTCTTCTAGCGAGACTGATGCAATAAATAGAAAAATACAACCCAGCAAGATAAGTCAATATATATCCCAAATAAATTTTGTTTGTTGGCAATCTGTGCTACCTCGTCTCACTCCTCACGTTCCTCACCAGCAGTTTAGTATGTATATCCCAAAATAAAGAATTCATCAAAGGATGCTGTTCAGGGTAACACTGTCTATTCCAGTTGCAGTTAATCCACTTTGGTTTCAACTGGGAGTAATATTGGCAAATACGGCATCGAAATCATCTCCCTTCCCCATCCATATTAACAAAATCTTCATCTTCAACTGGAGAATCTTGAGGTGGTGAAGAAATTGTTGACCTCTCACTTACGATTTGATTGTGTTTGCATTCTCTTCCATCTAACCGTTCAGAGCAACCGATTCTTGCTGATCTACTTTTCTTATATTAGGAATTTCTGAAACTTTCACAGCAACTTCACAAATTAACGTTTACTTTGGTTATTTTAGTTACCATGATCTTCTCCTCAAAATTCGGGAGTGCTTGCAAAATAAGCACCCCAAAGCTCCTAGTTCC